ATGTTGCGGTAAATTTTTTTTTTTTTTTCTTATGAGAAATTCGCGAATCACACAAGTCGTCGCGTGTAAACGTCTCAAGTTTACCACCGGACATTAAGAAAATAATTACAAAGTACTTTGTATATACGCGTACATACGTCAAATCGGAAACTGCTTAATTAAAAATAAATCTCAGAAAATTGTTTGCGAATTAATCTTTTAGGTAATTGGGTAATTATTTGTTTAACAAATGTCCCGTCACGTCGGTCGGACATTTGTTAAAATGTTTGAAAGAAAATTGTAATACAACTGAGAGAGGGGGCGCGCGTTGTTAAAGCGCAAAGAACGCGGCCATCTTTCAGCGGTAGAGCACCACAAATGAGCGCGCGCGAGCACCGTCGCGAGCGCGTTGCATATCGACCGTCGTTGCGAAAGTATGAAAGAGGATTGCGAAAACGCGCCATTGCACGCGCGCGCGTGTAACGCGCGTCGCGCTCGCGCGCGCAATAAGACCGCGTTTTTTTGATAAAAAAGCGCGACGCGGTACGCGCTTTAGCATTTTTTTTTCTCTCTCTCTCTCTCGCACACACGTGTCTCCGCATCTTCTTTTGAAGTAACGTGTGTCCTTTCTCTTCTCTTCTCGACTTCTCGACGGTCGAAAACTCGCATCGATTGTTCACTTATCGCGGCGACGATCTCTATCTCTGTCTCTCTCTCTCTCTCTCCCTCTCTCCCTCTTTCTCTCTCTCTCTTTCTCTCTCTCGAGAAGTCGCATTCCTGACCCCTATCTTTTCCTCTTCCATCACGGGACGTCTTCGACATTAGCATCCCAGCTTTGCGTCGCATTTGTGTCCCTCACGGTTGTATCTCGGTGCATATCCACCGGTGCGCGCGCGTACACTCCTCCCCTGCTGTTCCTTTCTTTCCCTCTTTATCGCTCTTTCTCTCTCCGCGAACTTATCCCATCTCTCTCCCTTTATCCTGCTCGCCCCTGCTCGTCGCATGTGCCGTGAACTCGCGGCGAGCGAGAAGACAGCGTAAAAGTGAGAGGAGAGGGCAGCGAGAGAGATACCGGTTATTGGCGGGGACTGTGGCGTATTTCACCGGGTGTCCGGCAATCAGGCCTTTGTCTACGGCTCACTACACGCCGTTGTATATATTCCCGCGCGCGTGCATCGCGCTAGAGGGGGTTCGGAGGGAGCGAAGAAGAGATGTGTGAGGGGAACCAGAGAACACAGAGAGAAAGAGAGAGAGAGAGAGAGGGAGAGACGCGCAGCGGGGTGAGAGGAAGTGAGAGCGACCGAGAAACGGAAACGTTTATTCAACGGTGTGGAACCAGTCATGGGTCGAGGGGTGCGCGGGGGGTTCACACAGCTGTGAACGTGTGCCGTGCACACGCACACACGCACACACACACACACACGCAAAAACGTCTAGATGATGCATGCTCCGCGTGTTCGCGCAATCGATATTTTCCGGCGGATCAACATCCATACACCTCCGAGCAAGATTGCAGCTTTTTTTTTTTTTTTTTTTTTATCCTACGTGCGACGCTCCGAAATATCGTCGGAAAACAGCGCACGTTTTTTTCCAAAACGGGGATATCGTTTTTCTCCCGACGACAAGAATATTTTTCAACGAGACAACACCCGCGCGTTTTTCCCGGGAAGGGGGTTGGGTTCTTTCTTCCCCCCGGAAAGAAGTTGGAGGGAACAATCGCTCGCGCGCCTTAAAAAAAAGAAAAAGTTGCTCCCCGTAACATTTGCAGATACATCGGCTTTGCAAATTCGGGTAGGTTAGGCATACGTAGAGGGAGGAGAAGGAGGAGGAGGAGGAGGAGGAGAATTGGTAGCTTTATAATCTGATCCGCGCGGAATGCGGTGGAACGTCGCGCACGCGCGCCGGGAACAACGTTTTCCTGTAACCGAGATAGCAGCAAGACCGACTCTCCGCGTCGAAGGGGTCAGCGGAAGCGTCGAGCGCGCGCGCGACCTGCCGCTGTAAACGGCAGCAATAAACACACCACTGCTCGATTGATAGCGCGAACGTCAGAGGGATAAAGAGATTACAAGCTCAAACCGACGCTATGAGCGGCTTCGCACGCGGAACAATCTCGTTTTTTTTTTTTTTTTGTTTTCTTTTTATAATTAATCGAGGTACAATGGCCTTAGAAATGATTAAAACACCAAGTCGATCAATCGTTGACTGACAATTGCGAAGATTTTATTGTCCAACAAATATTGAAAAAAATAATACGTACGCAAGGTTGATTTTTTTCTAGCGAACATTTTTGTCTTATTTTTTACTTGACATTTGGGAATTAATTTGGAGTTTTTACGGCAGCGGTGTCTTGGAGTCTCCTTTAATTGATGCTCTTGAGGGGAAAATTAACGGGCCTTTGAAGCGTCTCGTTAAGTCGAACACTATCAGGTCTCGAAAGCGTCTGATTCAAGCTACTGTTTTGCGTATATCTTCCGGAGAGTATATAAAAAAAAAAAAAAAATCGAACAGAGCGCACATGTAAGTTGAGGTGACGAAGAAAATAAAATTATTTCAGACACCGTGTGCGTGTTTCAGACAGAAAGTGTCGAGACGAGAATGTCTCCAAAAAGACTCGCCCGCGCGCGAGCGAGCGCGCGTGTTTATCGCGTGTCTGTTTTCGCGAAAAGGGACGTGTGAAAAATAGTCGAAAGATAATCGCTTGGAAATAATTTCGGTTCGCGAATCAATGCGCAACGGAGGGTCGAGGTACGCCAAGTAGGTCGCCGTGAATCCCACCATTGCTGCCAACAACACGACAACGAGACGACGACGCCGCCACCGCCACCGCCACCGCCGCCGCCGTCGTTGCGAGGAGCACACGCGTTGCACTTCGCCGTCACACAGGCTCTGTTTTGCTGCGCACTGCGAAGCGAGTTCGTTAATCTCGCGCGTTCATTGTGTCGAGTCGATTCGACTCGAACGTTTACCTGTGCCCAAAAAAAAGCCAACAACAAACTGCACGCATTGATGAATAAAATAAAAATGAAAAAAAAAAAAAAGAAGAAAGAAAAAGATTCCGACGAAGAGACACGGCCTGCTCCCCCGCAGAGGAGATGTGATTTCCCGCACGCGATTATCCTCAACCCTAATAGAGCGGGCTGAACCAAAGCTCTATCGTGTCATCTTCGCTCTCCACTCCTAAAGCCAAGAGCGACGAGGGTGAGAGATTGCGTATTTCGCGCCGAGAGAGTGGGATAATTAAAAGCTTAGATAAAAACGAGCAACAACCCCCGGGTGTTGTTGAAAAACAAAATCCGCTTCAATTGCGGATTTTTTGTCGCGCACCTTTTGTTGCGTTTTCAACAAAACTATTGCAACGGCACCTTGAAGAGATCTCATTTTTTTTTTTTTTTTTTAAACTAAAAATAACGCGACGAAAAAATTCAAAAGTTAAATCCTCCGGTAACCGCAAAAGACAAAAATATTGTAGCAACTGGAAAAAAAAATCAATAGTGTGCCAATCATCGGAGGGGGGAGGGGTTGTTTAACTGTAGGTTCACCCTCCGCGTCGTATCTGCGTTTGTGCTTCTTCTCGAGAGAAAAAAAAATAACTAAGACAAAACGACATTCCTTTTTCTTTTTTTTTTTTTCAAACGCGCGCTTGGACACGTGATGGCACGCGAAATAATAAAAATCGCTGAAAGATCGCCGAGAGTTGAAAACCCCGATCACCTTCACTCGAGAAGTTTCTACCAGCTACGGTACGTGAAAATCCGTAACGTACACCCGTAGAGACTCCGGGGAGACTTTCTAATTCTCTCCTCGCGCGCAACACACACGACGCCGCAGCAGCTCCTTTCATCCGATATCGGCGTGACGACCGTTAAATTACGCCGCGCTTAAGTTACTTGATCACTGGCGAGCGAGTTTCTCTGGCCGGAGAGTTTAATACTACAATACAGAAAACCCACCCTTCCTCTCGGATTCTATTCGGTGACACGACTCGGAAAACTACATATCGATTGTTGGCCTCTCCCCGGCCGTTGCTTCGTCGATAAACCTCGCCGTTTATGTTTTAATTTTTTTTTTGTCTTTCTCCTCAACTCACGTTGTTCGATTGACAGCAGCGCGTCGCGCCTACATTTCAGAGCTAATTCGGACGGAAAGTAGATTATTATTATTTTTTTTTTTTCGAGACGGGAGATTGCAACCGAACTTTTCGACCAAGTCGCACGTACGTTATAACGTACGCGCGGCAATAAACGCCGTTCAAACGCCGCTCGCGACAACGTGGCGAGGAGAAGTTGCTGGAGGAATCCGCGCGCTCTATCCCTCGCACGCGAAGGCGAACTTCCGGGGATTTTTTTCTTTCTTCCGGACGTCAAATTGAAGCGGAAGGGACGGCGAAATTTCAGAAAGTCCTTCTTTCCCGCATTGCGATCAAATATTTTCCGAGAAGTTAAAAAAAAATTTCGTTTTAGAGCTATCTCGGACGGAAGCTTTCGAACGAGTTTGATCAGCGACGGATTTTTCATCTTCGTCTTCGGTTTGAAATAAAATCATTTCGATTGATTTTTTATCAGCGGCTGACGAATAACCCGCGTAAACGTTTATGCAAATGTTGCATACAGGCTTTTACAAAAATGTTTTACAAAAATGTTAACACTGGAAGTGAGAGTTTTTTTTAGGGGAAATTTATATCTTGTCGTCAGAGTCTCCCTTGACTCGTTGCAAAAAAATAAAATAAAAAAAAAAACAACAACAACATACAAATCCTCCACGTACGTGTTAACATTTGTTTTTGGACCACCTTGTGTTGTGTAATAAATTATTTATAACATAGTCTTCGATATGTTGATTGAGAAATAATTGACAACGGTCGGATGAATAATAATTTTTATTGAACGCAAATATGCGCGTGCAAACTAATTTATAAAATCAATAAATAAATTTATTATACAACATATGGGAAAATTGTTTACGTTATTATCTTACATTGAAGAGTTCGATGTTTGTAACGACGTTTTTTGCGTTTGCAGTTCATGGTCCACGGTCCTCAAATAGCCAAATCGAGAACTAGATTTGGTGAGGAGGCCAAGGTCGGCGAGGAGGAGGGCGGCCAACCGTTCCTGGACCAGTCTCGCGACTCGCTTGCGAGTTTACATTTGGCGTGCGCTCGCAAGGCCACCAAAACGTCGACCCCATCGGTAATCAAGTTATCGGGGGGTGGAACAGGTGGCAGTGGGGAGCAATTGTCCCCAGGGCCTGGCCCACCTCCCCCGTCAGCGTCATCGTTGGCCGACGATGGTGGCGATCGCAGTATCAGCAACGAGGAAGACGTCGCTGCAACGACGACAACGACGACAACGACGACCACGACGACGACGACGACGACAAACAATGACGAAAACGTGCAAATGGCCGTTTCGGCAGCAATCGAAACATCCAAATCCGTGGAATTGGATAAGAAAGGAAGCGAGCAGGAAACCACCGCCATGAGTTTTGTTTTACGCCTGGACGTGGAGACGGCGGGAGCGACGGTTGCGTCGGAGAACACAACGAAGAACGACGCCAAGAGCGAGGGACAATCATCATCAAGTTTGCGCGAACGGGAGACGTGGCGGTCTCAGTGTCCCTCGACAGTTGTTACGGACACCGGTACGACCACAACGACGGGAATTATCGCAAGCGACAACGACACTGTAGCTACAATCGCTAACAGTAAATCGCAGTTGTTACAGTGTGCGGAAGACGCGAGCAGCAATTCGCAACAGATCACGGCCATCACCACCGTGTCTGCTATCTCGACGGTCAAATCCGTGGTCACTTATCCGGTCGCGAAAGGCGCCAGGGAACAGAGGATCGCCGGCTCGCAGACCAACACCACGCCGGTACTGACAACGCGCGTCATCTCGCAGAAACTACCGTCGTCGTCCAATCTGAGTCTAGCACAACAACCCATTCCCATAACCACTCTCAACGTTTCCACCAACACGTCTAATTCAACGTCCTCGCCGTTACCCTCGAGAAGCGGTGGCATTTTGTATCCTGTGCAGAGTACCGTGAGCAACACGGTACAGAGCAATCAATTGACGAAGAATCCGAGCGCAACTCTGATGGGAAGCGAGGTCGTCGTTCACGGGAAACAGCAGCAACAGGCAATGGCGGCGACGGGCAATGCGCAGACCGGCGCGAATTTGCATTCGAAATTCGTGTCACAGGTTTCCGTTCAGCAGCACATCGTAAATACCGCCATACCGTTTAAGAAGGCAATGGCCGCGCTGGAGGCGACGAATCTTCAGAAAATCGTTAAATCGACGTTTCCGAACATCGTCGCGACCGGTCAGTCCGGACCCGGTGTTAACGTGACGCAGAAAGTCAAGACTGTAGCGAACGCCGCCAATCAACAACCCGTCGGGGTTGTGCAACGCAACAATTCCTTAGCTAGGATACAGAGCGCGCAAAAATCGCAGGTGTTGAGCGGCACGATCAATCAGGCGGGTATTAACAATCAGGCGAACAACGCGAATCTGCAGAAGGTTCAGCAGAACAATCCGACGTTGGTGCAGAAAACGATGCAGGTCGTCAACGCGACGTTGAACACGCCGCAGAAGGTAACGTCTGTCTGCAACACTCAGAAAATCCCGTCGCAGCTGCCGAGCGGCGGCGGTCACCTTCCCAATCACAAGACGCAGCAGCAATACGGGGGCGGCAACAATCAGCAACAAACGGGTGTGCAGAAGTTGCAGGGTCCGTCAAAAACTCTGGCGATGACCAGGCAGCAGCAGCAGCAGCAGCAGCAACTCGTCGCGCAACAGATCAACAACACCTCGAAGTCCGGCGGCGCGCAGGTGGGTGGCGCGCAAAAGTCTCAGATGCTCGGACAGCAGCTTCTGATGGCGAGCCAGCAGCAGACGCAAACGTCTCATCAGCGATCTCAAACAACAACGACCGGATTGCAAAAGTCTCAAACGCTGACGACGGTACAGAACACCGCCAATCGGCTGCACACCGCGACGAGCAAGGTGTGCAAGAGCAACAGCGTTCCGAATGTGTCCAAGATGTCGCAGCAAAATTCGAACGTGCTTGCGGTCGGAAAACAGCAGCAGTTGCAAATGCAATCAACGTCGTCGACGCAGTTGCAGCAGCAAATTCTGCAGCAGCCGACGACGGTAGTGCAAAAGACGCAGCACCATCAGCAACAACAACAACAACAACAGCCAGTAAACGCGAGCAATCTTCAAGCTCAAAGAAGTCACAGTATTACCAATGTGCATCCAAAAGTGATCTCGAACATATCGAACAATCAAAGGACTCAGACTGTGATGAATTCGAAGGTTCAGCAGCAGCAGCAACAACAGCAGCAGCAGCAAATGGTGACGAGAGTAGGTATGCCGAAAAATCAGTCGCAAGCTTCGCAGTCTACGACCGGTCTGAAGAACGTCTCGCAGAAACTGGTGAACCCCGTCAAGACTACCGCGAATTCCCAAAACAATGTCGTTCAACAATCCGTGCAAGTGCCAAGAAACAACAATCCCCAAACTCTGAAGATTATTCAGCCCCAGCAGCAACAGATAGGTCCGCAGAACGCTCCGCAGAAACAGCCCGGATGCATCAAGACCATTCCGCCGCAGAAACCCGTGCAGAGAAATCACGCGCAGAAGGTGGTGGGCGGAGTAGGAGGAGGTGGCATCAAGACGTCGCTGAACACGAACATGACTGCGTTAGCGAAGACCCAAGGTGGTGGTCCGCCGTCGACGCAGATCGCGCAGAAGACGAGCATCAAGACGTTACTGCCGCAACAAGCGACGGTAATCGCGTCACCTAACGTGATAGCGACGCACAAACCACCGCCGCCGGGTGGTTACAAGATCCAACAGCAACAAGCGATGCAACAGAAGACGATGATCATGACGCCTACGTACACCCAGCAGATGCGGCAACCGGCCGGACAGATAAAGACGTTGCTGCCGGTTACGTCGACCGCGATCGAGCCTCGCAAAGACGTCGCCGAGACTAAGTGAGCAGAAATGTTGAAAATCAATCTCGCGTCAAGTTCCATTAAATTCGCTTAAATGTTGTGTTTTTTTGTTTTTCTCTTTTTTTTTTCTTTTTCCATATATAGGGTTTAAATAATGGCAATCTGGATCGTCAATTGTACCAATAAAATGATGATGTTACTTTGTAGAAACGACACCGAGTTCCGAATGTCGACGGACGAAGAGCAAAACGCTCCCAAATCGCCAGCTAGAAGAATGCCGCTTCCTTACGAGGTATAAATATAAATTTATTTATCTTTTAATAACGCGCCCCTGCTGGAGACGCGCATCCAAAATTATTACGAATAATTTAGTTATTAGCGCGCGCGAAGTTTTATAAAAGAGTTTCTTTCGGTCTAAATTGCAGTGTCTGCAGTTCGTTCTACAAGACCACAATTACGGAGCGCCGCCGCCGCGAACGCCATCTCCTTCGCCGTCTCCGTCTCTGTCGCCGGCGCCGCACGCGAAGCAACAACCCGTCAACGGCGCGGGCAGTTCCACGGCCGTCTCGCAACACCCCTTCATTTTCAGTTCAGGAGGTAGTAACGTAATCTCTCGATAAAAATCTGCGACAAAATTCGCGCTGTTTCTACAATGTTTCTAACAAACGTATTTGCACAGCGTGGGTGGGATTGATCTTTTGTTTGGGGATCTCGCGACAAAAATATCTCAAAACATGTGGTTGAACGATTGCAGTTGCGCCCAACGCCAATACGGAAGACGACGCCGCGAGCACCATAAGCAGCGATGCGGGACGAGAGGTGGAGCCGGAAGGCGAGGAGACCGAAACAGCACCGGAGGGCGAAGGAGACGACGAGGATAGCGTCACCAGGTGTATCTGGTAAGATAATTTGTTTGTTTTTTTTTTCTTAATGCGACGTGTATACAAATTACGTATAAAATATGACATGCACATGTGTGTTGGATGAGTGCAAAAGTGTTTTGACGAATTTTGTGATGGAAACAACAGACCGAGAGTGATTCGATTCAATATTTATTTGTTTTTTTCTAAGTAATCTTCATTATTTTCCACTATCTCTCGCTGCTGCACTCGATAAGATAAATAAATTCATTTTAAAATTGACTTCTCGTCCACATTTTTTTTCTATCGCAAAGTCCATCAAAACCTTCGAACCCATTCAACACACACACGGAATTAAATCATTTATGATTATCACAACTTAATACTCGATTGTGTTATTTTTTTTATAGTGACTTCGAACACGACGATGGATACATGATTTGTTGCGATCGGTGTTTGTAAGTGCCATTTTTTTTGTTTCGTGTTTTATGTAGAGTATACGGTCTGTCGCACAAGACAGGTGGGTCTGAAGGAAAAAGATTTGTATTTGAGAGAGATAAATTATTACTACACGTGTTTTGTATAAAAAAAAGTCCGTTAGGGTAAAAGACCCAATTACTGTCACCTGAATAATAAACTCTGGCGTTAGTGAATTGTTTTTTACTACTTATTTATCAAAAACATGTGTTTTTCTTCTTATCTGATATTATTCGATGTCTCTGATATAAGGAACAAAATAATACCGTTTCTCAAAATCTCTATTTTTTTTTATTTAATATAAATTTAATAATTAAAAAAGAACGATGCGAGAGCTATTACTGTCACCCCTAAAATGAAAGAAATGAGACAAGAATGTTGAGTGCTGGATTTTTTGTTATATTAATTGCACTTAAAATTCTATGTTAGATTGTTTTCGTGCATAACTTTTTAGGATTTATTTAATATTTTAAATAAAATAGCTTAGGGTGACAGTAATTGAACAGGTGACGGTAATTGGGTCTTTTACCCCATTCGTTGTTCAGATATCGTTTTCTCTGTAATTTCTAACCGTGTGACAACGATCGCCATATTGTTTTTATTCGTTTTGTAGCTTCAAGTTGTGCGCTCGAGGCTTACTACGTGATCGTCCACTTTTTAAACATAGAGAGCCATACGTCGTTATTACTGGAATGCGTCAGTTTTCGGCAATAGGCCAACATTGTGGGTGGCTTTTTTGTGGCGGGAACAATTCTCGCTCGTTTCCAACGAAACGGGGAATCGTGTTTAGGATAGACAGAATCTACTGTGTCTTGTGTTACAGATCATAGATTTGTAGGCACGCTTGTGTGCGTATGTTAGTGACTCGTGTGCGTGTGTGTGTGTGTAATGATTCTCAGCATCTGCTCTCACACACTTTGCCACACTTGAGTTTCTAAATATTTATCATATCTGGAAACTCGCGCGCGTTTTAACTCGGCGGATCTCCGATGACTGAGGCTTTTAAATCGCGATTATGGAATTGCAGAGTGTGGCAGCACGTCGATTGCATGGGCATAGATCGTTCCAACATTCCCGACGAGTATCTCTGCGAGATATGCAAGCCGCGACGAGTGGACCGACAGCGAGCTCGGGCTCTGCAGATGCGAAAACGCGAGGAGCTGCTCAACTCGGACACGTCGTCCGACACGTCGTCCACGAGTTCGGCGGACACGGACGTGGGCAACTCGGCGCCGAACAACGCCGCTGCCGCCGCGACCCAACAGAAGAAACGACCGCTCGCGCAACAACAACAACAACAACAACAACAACAGTCGCAGGTCCCGAGACGCAACAAGACGGACACGTCCAACAACGCGCAGTCCACGCAGGTGCGGAGGTTGAACAACAACAACAACAATAACAACAACAACATCGCGAAACGTCAGAGGAGAGACTCGAACGCGCGACAGTCGAGCTCGGTTCGCAAGAAGGAGAACGCTACGCAGAAGCGAGGACCCGGCAAACGCAAAGCCAAGAGAAGAATGAGTCTCGAGGACAAGGAGGAAGATATGCAGGACGCTTGGGGCAGCAACATGGCGCCTCTTAGACAGTGGATCGAGAGATACGAGGAAGCCGTCACGAATCACTACAGTCCCGAGTTACGAGCTAGGATATCGAGCATCAAGGTCAACGGCACTCACAACGATCTCAGGCAGAGCAACATGAACGTTGCCGCTACCGGCAAGTGCAGACTCAACGTTCACAGTACCAATCTCAGAGTAAGCAAACTAATTTTATAACAATTTCTTCTGATTGTTTTTTTATATCCGCAAACGTTGTTCCCGAAGAGACAATGTCAGTTGGACAAAAAAATTGGACTAAAAAATATTGTTTTCTTTTTCTTTTTTCTTTACCGTACAGTTTCTAGTTGCGACGATGTATCTTCCACCGAACACACCGGTTGTGGAGTTGCGGGGGAAATACATGCTGAGCACGCAGCACCGGTCGCAGCATCCTCAAGGCGGCAGGCAGCACACCCAACGACCGGGACCGTTCGTGTTCTTTTACCGTTTGCCCCGCGACGGAACCGAGGTGTGCGTGGACACGCGGACTTACGGGAATGACGCGAGGTTCGTTCGGCGCAGTTGCAAACCGAACGCCGAGGTTAAGCATTGCATCGAAAAGGGCACGCTTCATCTCTACATCGTTACGACCTGCGCGATCGAAAAGAACGCCGAGATCACGATCAAGCACGATCAGCACGATCTTTTGTTGTCGCCGAATCCGAACTCGCCGGCTGCGCTGCCTGTCGCGTGCGCGTGCAACAATTCGCGGGAGTGTCAAATCGCGAACGCGGCAACGAGCCAGCTGAACAGAAGAGGCAGCAACACCGCCCCGACCGATAACGTCGAGTAAGTTTTTTTTATAGATGTTTTCTGAATTCCGACGAAGTCTGACGGGGGAGACCGTGTGCTTTTCTAATTGTATATATATATTTTTTTTATTGTTTGCGTGAATTAGCGGCAGAGAACGAAGACGGCGAGGTAGAAGAAACACCGTCTCGGAGGAAGTTGAGCCCACGTCGTCGTCGTCGGTAGCTTCCACGAGCGTAACGCAAGTCAGTCCGGTTGTGACGTCGTCTGTTTCGTCGTCCGTGACCACCGCGCCGCCGAAAAGAACTGTCACGACCACGGCCGTGACTACCGTGACGACTCGTCAGGTTCCTAAGGAAGATCCCGTGGTGACGATAGCAGCGAGCGCGCAGCCTCAGACGTCCCCTAATCTGACTCAGTCGGTAGCAACTTCCGAAACCAAGAAAGATAAAAAGATGACGCGAGAGGAGAGAAAGATGGTGGCGATCATGAAGGCGTTCGAGAGACTGGAAAAGGCGGAACAAAGAAAACAAGAGGTGCAGGCGAGAAACGCGCAACGAAAGGAATCGAGCGGACCGCACAGCGACAATGAAGACACACACTCGACTAGCGGACAATCCAAGAGCGGCAAACAGACGAACTCCTCCGAAAGACCGCTGCGGCGAAAGAGACGGAAAGGTCGGGCGAGAACGACGAGCTCGTCTCAGAGCAGTAGCCGAAGAACGAGATTGAACTCGGCCGAGTCCGACGTGTCTTCCGGAGACGAGAGCAATTCCATGCAATCGCCACCTTTGCTGAGCCAGAATCGTCCGCCCAGTCGGGACATTTCTTATTCGTCGCATCTTCACACGTCGACCAAGGACACAACAGCGGGCGACGATGTTAACAACACCACCGGATCGTCGTCGTCCGGTGGTCATCAGGGAATCCCAACCGCGGCCGGTTTGTTGTTGGCTCTAGCGAACTCGAACGCTCCCGGTCCTCCGAGTTCGCCTCCGTTGCAGCAACCCACTCCCGTCAAGAGTCCCACCTGCGACAGCGGAGCCAGCAGCAGCTCGCAGAGCTCGACACCGTCCACACCGGTGTCATCCACCTGTCTGCTGGTGGCTGCCGCGGTCGATCACTTCGCGCCAGGTTTCAAATTTCCAAAAACGAAGAAGGTGCTGATGAACGAATGGCTAAAGGAGTCGCCCGATCCACCCCAAACGAACATACCTCCGATATCGCCTTTGCCAACGACCGCGCCGGCGTTAACGAACTCCATGAATCATCCGCTGTGCGGCAGATCGTCGGACTTCGCGTCACTTCAGACGAACGATCCGTCAGCGGAATTTCTGTCGCAGAGCTACGCCGCCAAAAGTCTAGCCACTCTCGTCCAAGCCGCAAACTCGGTCGGCGGGATGTGCGACTCGCCGCCACAGCGCAGACAGCAACAGACGGTCGCAACCGCCGCCAATAACAATCACAACAACAACGGGGGCATCGGCGGCTGTCCGGCTGTTGTGTCCACGGGGGGATCGGCGAAAAAACGATGGTTGCGACAGGCGATATCCGAGGAGTGTGACTCGCCCAACAGTCGTCCGGAGACTCCGCCGTCGCTCAGCGAGACCGTTGCGCCGCCCAAAAAACGTAGAATAGCTCGGGAGAGTTTGTCGTCGGACAATTACACTCCGCCAACGACACCCACCATGTTGCTTCCGACTGAAACGTCGTCTAACAACAAGACACTTTGTTCCGCTGAGGTAAGTCGTCAAATTGACGAGATAGCAATTGTTCTTATAAAAATATTGAAAAAAATGAATGTAACTTTATTTATTTGACAATATATTTCTTTATTGCTTTTTTTTGTTTTGTTTTTTTCAAGGATGATTACACGGAACACGGACAATCGCCTGTCGTAGAACAGATTGACGAGAGACGTTATTCGACGGAATCCGTGAAGGAAGAAGCTAATGTAAATACACCCGTAGATTCTGACGAAACAGTTGTCCGAGAGAAACTTTCAGTCGACGTCTTTCCCCAATCGAACTTTTACATAAAGCAAGAAAAAAAACCGGAATGTTCGGATGTCCCAAAAACGGAGGAGGTGTCTCCTTTTCCGGGTGCGGAAAATGTCGCGATAAAAGATGAGAATAAATTATCTCCGAAATGGGAGAAGTGCTGCGAGACCGATTACGACGAGCCGTTGGACGAGAAACTGGCCGCGAAAATTCGAGAGGTCGTCGAGAGAGTGTCGCACAACAACGAATTGAACGCCAACGTCGTCAAAGAATCTCCCGTGAAAATGGAGGAACAGCAGCAGCAGCAGCAGCAGCAGCAGTTCGAGGCTAAGGGCACTGTCGAGATAATCGACAACGAGCCCGACATTGAGATCGAGGAATTCAGTTCTCCGATCGCCGACATAGAACCGGACGCGATTCTGAAGCAACGAGTGGCCGACATGCAGCTTGAATTCGGCGGTCACATAGCCGAGATTGCGAAGAGCGAGATAATCGAGAAATCCGACGAGGATAAGAAGAAGCTTCCGTCCGAAGCTTTCGTCAAGTGTCAAGTAGTTGCGGACGACAGCGCGTCCTTCGACGAGTTCGACGTCGAGGCCCAGATGAAGAAGATCACGGGCGACGACGGGAACGATTACCGTGAGAAGATAGACACGAGTTCGGAGAAGGACAAGAGCATGGACGGTATAGAGGGATTGATGGAGAGCTCGAAGGAGGATTCCGATTTCGAGGACAAAGACGTGGATGACGAGAATTACTGCGAATCTTCCTTCAAGTTCAACATCAGCAGCGAGGAAACGTCTTTCAAAGAATTTGATGCCAAGTCCGACTCGAACGATCGTACCGTCGTCGTAATCGCGGAGAATAACGCGAGAAAAACCATTGACGTTGTCTCGAAGGATGTTGTTGACGATCCTCGGGAATCCTCTCCGAAGGAGGAAACGTCCAAGAAAATCGAAACGTCATCATCGACCTTCGCCGCCGCGTCTTCGGAAGACTCGATCTTCGAATCGGTTTCCTCGGATCCGAACACGGAGTCTGTCGAGGATCCGCCCAAGATATTTCAATCGATACCGCCGTTGAGCGAGCGCATTCGCAAGAAGAACGAATCGTCGTCAACGTCGCAGAAAACGGCGGTCAAGATGGATTTCGAAGCGGCTATAATAGAGTCAACGATAAATATGGAAACGATAGACAGATCTCAGAACGGGGAGGAAAAATCGATGCTGTCGACCGCGTTGCGCGAGCTATTGGAAGCTAAACTGGACGACGACGACGACGACGACGACGACGTAATGCCGACGGCGGTCGAAGTAATGAAAACTGACATTGATAACGAGATTAATACGTCATCGCAAGTAACTCAAACAAAATCATCAGACTCTCCCGAACGTAGTTTAGATACGGTACAACAACAACAACAGGACGCGATTCAGGAACTCCCGAAGCCAACCCCCGAAGATACTCCCGTCAAAGAGGAGGAGACGAAACCGAAGGAGATAAAACGATTGAAAGATCCGAGGACCGTCGTGCCGAATAGCATGCCCGCGCCTCCGCCTTTTAAACCAGATCTTCCCCCCGTTAAGCGCAAGGTTAGAGGAACAAAGACAAGTAGTAGAAATTTTAGCGGCTGATAATATATATATATATATATATATATATATATATCAGACAAGAGAAAAACCTTTCGTTTCTATTTTTGTGTTGAACGTGCAATTGCAACAAAAAAACAAATTCTCTCGCTCATTTTGTTTCGCCTCGCAGGCTCTTCGAATTTGTTTTCGTCAATTTTAAAAACGTTTGCCGCGTGTGTGTGTGTTTACAGCTGTCCATATCCGAGTATCGCAAACGGAAGCAACAGTCGTCCGGAGGAACCGGTACCGAAGCGGAATCGTCCAACGACCCCTCGACCGCGGACAAGAGCGGGGCGCGAGGCAGATCGGACAGTGCGAGCAGCGGTACATCTTCTCTGAGTTCCGACGAGGAGGGCACCAAAGCGTCGCACTCGCTCGACGCACCGTCGACCCTCGCGACATTAACACTCTTCTCTAACGCTTCTAACGAAACCGACGAGAAGAAAGGTAATGGAGACTAACTACCCCGTCCGTGTGAACTTAAAAACCTTTTTTTTTTAAAAAAAAATGCGACAAAAAGATTTATAAACTCAGTGGTGGTTGGTCTTTGTATCCAGGAGAGGAAGGTGCAATCGGTTGGTCCGCGGCGCCAACTTTAGTGGAACGCCAACGAGAGAATCTTACCGAGAGATTGAAACGCGAGTTCGGACTGTTTCTCAGCGACGACGAAGAGGAGCGAGCTCGCAAACACGGTACACACTTTGAGCTTTTTTTTTTGTTTTATTTGAAAGAAAAATGTTACTTTTATAATTTTACACAAGAGTGTAAATTAATACGCAAACGATGAGTTCAGAGAAATCAAAACTTTTATCGTCGCGATTCTCGTTTGCAGGTCTGACAGCTGAGGCGATACTGAAGACGCACAAGTCTCCGCCTCAGTCGTTGGTCGCGAGCACGGGCCCGCCGGGCGCCGCGTATCCGGGATTGATACAGTTACCGCCTCAGCCGTACATACCACCGCCCGGATCCGCGTCTATACACTACCCGCAGTTCCAGAACAAACCCGGCGCGGTTCAGTATCCGAACTTCGCCGTGTTGCCCCCGGCGACGGTCCAACAGCCGGTGCCGGCGATATACGGCGGCGCGCAACCACCTCAAGCGGGTGGTGCGGTCGCCAAACAGTCGCAGCCATCGCAACCGTCGCAGCAGCAGCAGCAGCAGCAGCAACCTCAGCAGCAGCAGCAGCAGCAACCTCAACAGCAGCAGCAACCTCAGCAGCAGCAGCAGCAATTCCTGGTGCCGCAGACGGTTCAGGCCCCACCGGGTTCTAATCCATATCCGCCGCAATTTGTGCCGCCGCCGCCGCCGCCACCGGGAACGGGACCGATCGTGCCCATGCCCAAGTTCTCGTCGGCGACGCCGCCGCCGCCGCCGCCGGGCACTCAGACGTATCCTCCGGCGTCGTCCGGTCAAACTCCAAAGTCGTATTTCAATCACCCGGCGCCGAGGTCGTAACCAGCAGAAAGGGTAGGGATGTTATTGTCAAGTTTTTAGTTTCAAATTGATAAAAAAAAATTTTACGATCGCGGCGTGTCCGCGCGCGCGCGCGTCGGGGGGAGATTTATTCTCCGCGCGTATTCTCTGTCGTAGATGAAACAAGAAAAAAAAAAAAACACACGAGGTTTTCGAAAAAAACTTTTTTCCTCCTCCGGGAAGAAGAGTCGGCGGGGAAGAATTCGAGCTAGCTGTTCTTGAGAGTGAAACGTTTTACATTCTTTTAAGATAAGCAAACTACTCTAACGCAGATATACACAAACAATTTGTTTGCACACACTCGTATGTGTGTGTGTGAATTATTAAACAAAAAAAAAAATAAAAATAAAAAGTTAAAATAGGTAAGAGAGAGAAACAGGTCGCGCGTAGCAATTTCTCAAATCGCTAGAAGAAAAAACTATGTAGATGAAGAGGAAATAACATCGTTGTTGGAAATTTTTTAGTTTCATTGCCAACCCGCTTGTAGAAACTTGTGTCTCATGTGTATATTTCAAGTTTATATCGGTGGATCTTTGTTTCTCTCCGAGATAATTCGGACGGACTTTTACGTGGCCTAAAAGAAGCTGGGGAATAGCGACGTGCATTTTAGGTAGCTTATATATATATATATATATATATATCGAGAGAGAAAGAAAGAGAGAGAGAGAGAGAGAGGAGCTGTAGCGCGCGAGGAGCTGTACACTCTCTCCCGATCAAACGGCCAAAAGTGTATTCGAACGGCGTACACTTTTTATACTATTATGGTGCCCTAAAATGTCGATAAATATATATACATATATTTATATATATATATATATATATATGTATATATATATGTATATACGTACACACGTATATGTATGTTTATTATATACAGAGTTGGTTTCTCCAATTTTGGTCGCAGTTTTTTTCGAACAAAGTTGGAGACGCGCGCTCATGGGAGTCACGCTCTCATAGCAAGTCCCCGTCGAGTTTTTCAATTCGCGGAAACACAAAAGAAAGAAACAGTTTAATTTAAACTTGCCGTGCTCCCTTCGGTCACTTCGACTTTGTACATATACTATATATAATACACACGTGCAACACACGACTTGCATAATATTAAATTAAACAAATATGTGAAAGCTATATATTTAATAGAGAGAGAGAAACTAATAAACCGTTTAGTCTTAAGTTCGTAAAATCGCAGTCTTTAAACAAAAAACGTGTAATAAAAGCTAAATAGGTAGGGTAAAGTTAGGGTAGTGTTGTGCTGTTTTTTTTTTTTTTTTGTTTTTTTTTTTAAATATATATATATGTATACAGAGGCAAGTCAGAATTTTTCTATATTTTATATCTCATTGTAAAGCGATTAGATTATTTATGTAATAAAGAACAAGACAAAATGGTTGGAATTTCAGCTCGAGTTTTTATTTTTTTTTTTTTTATTTTTTTTTCGTTTTTCGGATGTTTAGGATTTGAGTCTTAATTGTTTTCCGATTGATCCGTTTCCGCTTCGCACGCGTTGCATTGAAAAAAAAAGCACACGTCACAATGCGGATTTGTTGTTTTTTATTTTGTTTTAAATAAAAAAAAAATCACATCTATTTATTTTATTCTCGGCATTCTGACTCGATCTTTTACGGTCCGTATTGTGCGAGAGAGAGAAAGAAAGAGACAGTAATCTAGCTTTATTTAATTGTAATTTTATCGGTTCTTCTCGAAGCTTTAAACGGCCACGGAAAATTTTTGAAACTGCTTTAAGAGTCCCGTGAGAATTCGAAAAACGGAAAAAAAAACTATATCTGAGAGAGAACGCGCTTTCTTATTTCGCTGCGTCCGTTTGAGTACAAAATTTTTGAAAAGCAACGCGAAGAGTACGTGAAGTTTTGCCAACACGGAGAACAGAGTTGTATGTGAAAAAAAAAGGAAATCTTCGTAGTCTTTTTTTATTATTATTATTATTATTAGCTCGCTCAAAAAACACAGTTGACTGTTTAGTCGGACGGAGTCGAGTTTTAAATTTTCTCGACCGTGGGTGGTTGGTTGGTTGGTTTCAACTTTTCTGGTCTAAAACGTCCCTCCGGGGACGGCGTTTGCGTCATGCGATCCCGTACTCTTTTTCCGCGATTAAAATCTCACGACTTATCCTATTTCGATCGCGTCACGTAAGCGCGCGTGCGCCTGTAACGCATTTAACAAAAACAATTACACACGCGCGCGCAGTGCGTTGTATAGCATATATATATATATATATATATATATATACACATAGTATACGTACATAAGAGAAATCCCTTTGGATAAGTTTGACGGTGCGATTACACTCAGTACATGTAAATATATAAGACACACACATAGATGTATTAATATCCCTGTTATGACGCACGAAGAGAGAGAGAGAGACAAGCGCATTCGACCTTGTAAGTTAATTTCTCTTTGTTCATAATATATATATATATATATATATGTATCACGTTCATAATATATATATATATACATATATATGTATATATATATTACATTGTTTGTATATTTTTTATTACGGAGACTCGCTGGAAATCCGCGAGTGAATATCAAAGATGAGAAAGAAGAACAACGAAGATCCAGTTACTTCGTTAAGAAAAAAAAAAACGCACTTGTACATACACTTGAGATTTAACTGCGCTCTTGCACACACAAACACACTTCGCAGCGTTCATTTTTTCATTTCAAAAAATGTATTCACTTACCGCGGAGTTATGTCCAACACACACACACACACACACAGTGCTCGAACTAATTATAGTACAATTTTAGATGGTAACGTGTTTAATTAGGAATTTACACAAAAGTTGCAGGAAACTGTGTTAAGGATATTGCGTCACAAGTTAGAATCGATAATCTCGCGATAAGAAAAATGCAACACACATACATACACACACACACACACATCACACATCAGTAATATTCACATCCGGTGTCCCAGTAGTAAATCACTTGTTTTAAATGAAAAAAAAAAAAAAAAAGAAAAAAAGAAACTAAACAAATATAATTATTTATTAAAACGCGAGGAGTATATTTTTTATTTTTTGTTTTTAGTTTACGTACGTGTACATTGAAGAGACAAAAATATTTCTATATATTTTATATATGACGATGTAATAAAAATTTAAAACAAAAAAAAAAAAACTACTAGAGAGAACCAGAGACACTCGTTTGTTGGCGAACGTTTTTAAATTGTCGGATTTGACCGAGAGAAGGAAATGAACAAAAAAAAAAACAAACAAACAAACAAACAAACAAAAATCCTAATGTGTAATTTATTAAATTATTTCGCAGTGAGATGAGATTTTATAGGCGCTTTTCTTCGTTGCAGATCAACTTCGCAGCTTTAAATTTGTAGTCTTTTTTGCGAAGCGTGCGAATACGGTCCACACCGTACTCTGGAGTGGGATTTTGAGAACCGACGAGTGTTCGGATAATTTTGTAACGGAGACGAGATAACGCTAATTTGCAAGTTCCCCGACGTGGAAATGAAAAAGAAAGAAAAAGAAACTAAAATGTGTGTACGGCATCAGGAACTGAAATTCGTAGAAAAAATCGCGAGGAAACGCATTCGGGAGTACCAGGTGGATCGTATATCTCTCCCGATTGGGATTGTTATCAGGAACGGAGGATGCGAGATAAACGGCGGAATTTGTAAAAAAACGTGTATGCACATAGAGAGAGAGAAAAGCCTCGAGCGATATTTTACATCACCCTGTACTCTTAAGCAAATATCAAAGCTGTAACAGAGATCTGTGATTAGGGAGGTAAGGCGCGAAATTGATTTGACGATATTTGTGTATTTCTCCACGAACGAAAGTATTTTAAACGGAATTCCTCGGGTGCGGATTACACACGTACGGATCTCCCCATCGAAAACGAAAAGAGAGAGAGAGAGAGAGAGAGTGAAAGAGAGAGAGGATTCTTTTTGCATTACGTTCGGCTGCGATTTCAAAAACAAAAACAAAAAAACAAAAAGTGTAAAACAAACCATATTTTTGGCATTTGGTATTTACTTTGTACTTTAGCCGATATTTTGTAATAACGAAAGAAAACTAAAAAAAAAAAAAAAAAAAAACATGTGTATACTACTGTAAGTTACAAATTGGGTGGTGGGAATCGTCGGACGCACGTCGCGAAGGGCGGAGAAGTGTACAGCTTTCGCCACCACTCAGGTAAAAGAAAAAAAAAACAAAAAAAAAAAAAAACGGCAATGAGACCCTTGTAAATATTTTTGTAACATAAACGACAGAAAATTTAAGTATACACATTTAACTCACGTGTATGCTTAAGTGAATTATACATATACATGATAAATTCGTATACATATATATATACATATATATATATATATATAAACAAAATGTCACGGGTTCTTTGTAAATTCAACTCATTCGTGTGACGATCCTTCGTTTCGCCGAGACGACGTCGCGTATCTCTGGGGCGGGTCTGAGGAAAAACGATTTTGCAAAACGTCCGAGTACGTTTCTCAAACGCTACGTTTTGCAAAATATCACAAAACAAATGTGAAAAACAAATTTACAAAGAACTCGCAGTATATATAGATACGTGTATATCGGTCTCTGTCCAATTGACTTGAACAAGGCTAAACTAAGGATTATATATATAAATAATTTGCTTTCGCAGCTAAAATAACCTTTCGCGCTAATTGTGTCCGTTGTACAATTCTCCGAATAGCTAATTATCGCGCATTATCATCTGTACAATGACATTCTGATGAGAGATGAACAGAGAGATAGAGAGAAAGAGAGGTAGGGAGGGGGGGAAGAAAAACACGCAAAAAAAAAGGGACTTTGTTATCAAACTACCTGCTATATCACGTTAGGGTAATCGTTTCAATGTTGTAAATAAAAAACAAAGAGCAGAGCATATATATAATATAAATATGAATATATATATATACATTTATATATATATATATATATATATAGCAGTTATTATTATATATTATTATATTAATTAAGTATATATTATATATTATTCCTGCGCATATGTGTGTGTATTTCGACTTCGATATTAATAAGCTGGGAAATACACATTGGATTTCTTTTTTTATTTGCAATTCACTGTTACATGTATGTGCCTAGTTATTAGCCATGTTACATTAATTATAATTATCTATTACAAACAACAACAATATATTGTATGATAATTTAATCCATACTCTCTACTCCGGTTATAATAAAAAAACAAAACAAAACAAAAAAAAATTAATAATAATAATAAATATGTAACAAGTTCTTCGATATCAAACTCTATATGATATATATATATATTAATTATTATGGCGTAATGTGTAAAGAGCTCATATTTAGGCATACGTGAAGTTTAATAAATCGGAATACAATTTTACGAATATTAACATGTTTATTCTCTTTGCTTTTTGTAATTTTTTCTCCTCGTTTCGCAGAAATTATAGAACAAGTTTTATCCCTTTCTCCCAAAGCGCGGTGGTGAGGATTGACTTGTATAAATATTAAAAAAAAAAAAAAACAATTTTAAGACAGCAGTTAAGAAACGACGCGCGGCGCGGTTTTGAAATTCGCGCCGCGCGATCGAGCGCGGTCGTGACGTCACGCGCGACTCGCGCCAACCAGCGGTCAACGGGCGAACTACGCGAGCGGTGCCTCCGCAACTTGCGTTCAACAACGAAACGAGATTAATCAAGGTAAATATCTGTGTTTTAAGGAACTCAAAGAGAACAAATTGCGTAAGAACAAATAAGCAACAACGCGCGCGAGTAGATAAATTCGAAAAAATTAACGCAGACGCGATAATCTCGACGATAAGAAGTGAAGTTGTTTGTTGTTAGGTTCGCTGGTCATCTGACCAGTGTTCGTTTCGACAAAAATCGACGCAACGCAATTTGTTTTTCTTATCGCGATCTTCGAACACGGCACTTTTTGTTTTTCAAATGACAAACAGAAACAGTAATTAACTTGAAATTTAAAATTTAAAAACACTTTTGTGAAATAACAACGGCAATCGGTATTGTTGAGTACGCGCGTGGCGCGTATCACGTCGCCGTATAGAGATAAGTTTCTTATCACAATTCACGCTTTTGAATAACAAGCTGCGTGCTTTTATTTGCAAATGCAGTAAGCGGATTGTGCGCTTTTATTAATACGTCGACGTTTTTATCTCGACACTCGCGTTCTGTGTTGAATTATTTATTGCCAATTTGCATTTGCGACATCAGAGACGGAAAATTTGACGAATTTATCACGTATCACGTTCTCGCAAGTCACGCAATTAAAAGTGTTTTTTTCGCGGAAAACAAATAAAAATGAACAATTTAAAATTTCACAAACAAGATGTTAATTATTTAAATTTATGTAGCGTGACAAATATTTAAAACATTGCCAACTTGTGTGATTAACATTTACAAATGTTCGGATTGTTGTGAAACATTTATTTGACAATTTTGCAACACATTTTTACATTGTGAAATTATATTTTAACATTTTTGCAATGTTTCCAGCAATGTTTCGTGACGCGGAGGCGGATTTTTTTCATCGGAAAAATGATCTCGCGATCGTCAAGAGAGAGAGAGAGAGAGAGAAAACTTGTCACGCGAGGCGTTTTCGTCGCGAGCTTTTATTATCGCCTCGACGGAAATATTGCGGGGCGATCTCTCTCCGGCGGATGCTTTTCCATCCCCCGCGACCCCGCAAAATCGCGCAATTTCAAAAGCCGGACCGCGGAGCGCGTGCGGTACAAGCGTGGGAGTCTGTTACCAACCGCGATTGCGCGAGAATTCGTGTGACGTCAGAGCCGACAACCGGCGGCAATTGGACGGAGCGCGCGAGGACGCGGTGCGTGCGAGCGAGGTCGCGCGTCTCGCGCGGCATTCCGGTAGCGGCGGCGGCGACGGGATTCCTCGTCGCGACGTGTGTGCGGCGACGTTCGTGACAGTCGGTTACGGCGGCGTTCGACGGACGTGCGACGAGAGACGAGCGAGAGAGTCGTCACCTGTCACAGGATTCGATCCGCGCGAGAGGACCTCCGGGAGAGAACCGGCAGAGAGATCGGCGAAAGAGAGAGAACTGCGAAACGGGGGATTCACACACGCACTTTGGGAGCTGCTCCCTTAGCCACGCGAACGTCATGTCTCCGTCTCGAGCCGAGCTGGACGAAACAGCTGTCGAGAATTTTCGCGAGTACCTGCGGATACCGTCGGTGCAGCCTGACATCAATTACGGTGAGCAATCGCGTGAGATCTTTTGATTTTTGGCGAAATAAAAACGCGGCTGTGAGAAAACGAGAGACACGGAAATTCCACGCGAAAGAAACACTTTCGACGCGGCGGGAGACGCGCGTCGAGATTTTCACTCCGGACGCGGCGCGATCATTTTCACCGAAGCAGAAACTGCATTGGAAGAAAAATTCGAGCGAGCGGTAAAAAAACAAGAGACGCGTGAAGACGCGCTCCCCGTCTTTTCCGAAAAGAAACGCGTATCTGTGTCAAAAAAAAAAAAAAAAAATCAAACGACGAAACCCACGCCGACCGGTTGCGCGTCCCCGAACGAGGCCGCCAGAACGCGCGGCTTAACGACGCGTTTCCTCGTTAGGGCGACGAATTACCGCGACTCGTCGGCGCCCGTTCTCTCGGCGGATCACCGCGCGTCGACGGAGTCGCGAGAAAAATCGTCGACGATTGTCCCGAACAAAAAAAAAAAAAAAAAAAATCCCCGTCGCCGAAGCGGAGACGAAATGGAGATAGCGTCGGTGACGCTATCCAGCCATTGCATGCCCCACCCTGCGTGCCGACCGAGTTTATTTCTGTTTTTATTCCCATTTTCGTTTCGGATCGGCCACCCGATTCTTCGTCCGGACCGTTTTCGCGACAAGATCTCGCAGTCTCGCGCAATGCGCCTTTTTTTTTTCCGCTTTCGTCCCGTCCCGACGCTCGCCGAGATTACGTGACCTAGATCGAAGGCAAGGCGTCCGGCGCTCTCCGGGAGAGGAGTTTTGGTCGCGATTTTTGACTCGTCGATTTTTCTGCCACGTTGAAAAATTAAAACGCGAAACAAGCGACGTTTTTTGTAAACAGGTTTGATTAGAAAGGATATTTTTTTATCTATCGTGTTTGCGCGAAAAATCATGTGATAAGACCGGCAGATGTGCGTGACCCTGGCGTGTTTATACCGTGATCTCTCTTGATAAGAGAAAATGATTTAGGGCTTGTCGTGTCTTGGATCACGTCAGAGGTCACATGACTGTTGATAAACTAAGTTAATTATTCAATTGATGCGACGTGCGCAGTTTGAAATATACCTCTTATCAAAGAATTGCTCCTATTAATTTCCACAAGGTAATTGGATTTTACAATGCGACATTCTTACGTAACACACTTGAAGTCCGTTTGGATCTCTTGAATTCAATTCTATTCTCGTACTAACTGTTGTATTTTTTTTTTATTATTTCAGATGCGTGTGTGGAATTCATCACCAAACAGGCCAAGTCTCTCGACTTGCCGGTCAAGATCTATCACGTGGATCCAAAGAAACCAATTGTGGTTCTCACCTGGATTGGAACGCAGCCAGACAAATCATCGATTCTCCTAAACAGTCACATGGACGTTGTACCGGTCTTTGAAGTAAGTTCATTTTCGCGTCATCTGAATTAATCTTGACGCTATGGTCCACACATGTGTGGTGGTTCCCCTTCCCTTTCAGTATTATTAATCGCGCGATTGATATCTAGGACAAATGGACCTATCCGCCGTTCAGCGCCCACATGGACGAGGAGGGCAATATTTACGCGCGGGGCAGTCAGGACATGAAGTGCGTGGGGATAGAGTATCTGGAGGCGATTCGCCGACTGAAGCTGAAGGGGGTACGCTGCGAGCGCACCATCCACGTTTCGTTCGTGCCGGACGAAGAGATCGGCGGTGTTCTCGGAATGAGGGACTTCGTGCACACCGAGGATTTCAAAGCTCTGAACGTGGGCTTCGCTCTGGACGAGGGTGTGTCCAGTCCGACGGAATGCTACTATATGTTTTACGGAGAGAGATCGATCTGGCACGTGCAAGTTAGATGCAAGGGCAGTCTCGGTCACGGCTCGATCTTGCTTGACAACACAGCCGGGGAAAAACTGAGAGTCGTGATCGACCGCTTCATGGATTTTAGAGCTCAGGAGAGAAAGAAGCTGGGAAATCCCAAAGAAGTAACAGATCTTGGCAACGTGACGACAATAAATCTTACAAAAATTTGGGTAAATATCACGTTATCAGAAAACAATAGTTTAAAAATAATGAAAGTTGTATACATTGCTTTGTTGCATCTAAAACATGTGAATAGAATCAATGACTCTTGTTCTTGTTTTTTTTTGTTGTTTTTTTACTAATACGGAAAAAGAAGGAAAAGAGGAAGACAGTTGTTATCTTTAATTAAAAAAAAAAACTATAATTTGCGTAATGAAATTCCAAAGAAAGCCTCATTCACATTGGCTAGCTATATTTAAACCGTTAAGTGGTGATGGTTTGCTTTACATGTCTGTTCTCCATTGGGATTTTTATATTTTCTAGTAAGTATTTTTGTGTTTTTTGTGATAAAAATAAGTCAACGATGTTACGTAGATAATCGCAATGTGTGTGTGTGTGATACACATGTTAGTAAAAATAGCGACCATTCCGAAAGTCAATCAAGTAGAGAAATGTGCACTTCATTTAAAACGTTAATATCTAAATTTAAATAATAAATAAAAATAGTTTGTTAGGAGATAAACACAGTTGTTGATGCGCAAATGTTTTTTTTTTATTTTCTTCCGCATCATTGATCAATTATTGTATTTTCGTAGTTTGTTGCAACAAAAAGAATCAAAATAAGTTGAAGAAGAAATTAAATAAAATAATATAAAATAAATCCATTTTCACACACACCAACGCGCACAACTGTGTTTGGCTCTTAATGACAAGTTTGTTGAAATACAAAAAATATTAAAATGCGCTCAGAGTGTATAAATTTACATTTATATCACAGTTTGTGATCTAAACGATTGATATCGTAGCAACGTGTTTTATTTAAGTTAGATAATAATAATTTATGTTATGCAACTATGTTGTGAAAAATTTGTTTTATTATCAAGTCTTATGTTCAATATTTGTTGAACTGATGAACGCGTGTGACTTATCTCACATCCGTATTTGACGTTTTTTTTTTACCTTTTATCGCATTTATTGCTTCATACGTTGTTGATAAATGTGTGTAATTTACAGGGTGGAGTACAGACCAATGTTTTGCCCGAGGAACTTAACGCCATGTTCGACATTCGATTGGCGCCTACCGTCGATCACGATGAGTTCGAGAACACGATTAAGCGCTGGTGCGAGGAAGCGGGTCCGGACGTGACCTATTGCTTCGAGGAGAAGAATCCGAAGATCGAGAACACCAAACTCGACAGCACGAATCCTTTCTGGCTCGCCTTCAAAAAGACTTGCGACGAAATGGGTGCCGAGTTGAAAATCGGCATTTTCCCAGGAGGCTCGGACAGTCGTTTCGTGCGCGGGGTAAGCGTCGAACTTTCAGTTAGTGCAAAAAAACTAAATTTACATGTAAAAAAATATATATATATATTTTCTCGTACACAAATATAAATTTTCTTCGCAAATGTTTGTTTGTTCGGAAAATAACTGACAAGTTTTACAAAGAATTTTTGTGTCTTTTGTGAAAAGAGAAAAGATAATATATTTAACCACAAATATTTTTATTCCACAGGTAGGCACCCCCGCTATCTGCTTCTCTCCGATAAACAACACAAAGATACTTCTCCACGATACCGACGAATATTTGAACAAAAACGTATTTCTGAAAGGAATAGAAGTGTACACCAAGATCATACCTGCCGTTGCCAATGTTTAAACGAGAGAAAAAGAAAACACATAAATGATAACAAATACTGGTGCCATAATAATATGCTTTTTACAAAGTTGCTATCGCAACTTCGCTGAGTAACTCCACTCACAGTGATGAGATTATCAAAGATTATTCAAAGAGTTTGAATGCGAAAATGTGCAATAATATGCAACTGGTTTTACAGTATAATTTTACAATACATATAATCTATTCAGAGTTTATATATATACATATATATATACACACATAGTACATACAAAATATTATAACGTTTCGAGAGTTTATTGTTGTTGGATATATTTTTCTCTCCAAAGAGATACGAGCCAAAGGTATAAGAGGAAGAAGACTGAAGAAATATCTGTGAGAAAATAACAATTAAAACAAACTTAAGACTGGAATCTAACCAAGCCGAGAGATAAGAAAGCAAAAGAAGCAGAAGAATTGTTGAAAAAAAAAAAAGATAACGGGAGAAAAATCTACGGGAGGAAGTAGATCGGATGCAAAATGAACAAAAATTGTCAACAACGCAAGAGGAATGAGGATAAGCAACGGCCGGACAAATTTTGGAGCGCAGAAAAAATCGGAATCTTCTAATTCCATCTGCACGAGGAAGAGAAACTAAAGAGAAACGAAAAAAAAAACAAAAAGGTGAAGGGGAACATATCATTAGAAAAGATTGTTTGTTTTTTAAAAGCAATTTATTGAAAAGTCAGTACACATGTGTATGCGCATATTGTTATCTTAAAAGAAAAAAAAATAGACGAGTTTGTTACATTATTCAGAAGAAAAATCCATATATAAATTTTAGAGTACAAAAAAAAAAAAAACTCTTAGAAAAAATTATGCGAAAAGAGAAGAGAGGGAGACTGATACGCGAACGATTGCGTTACGTCGGAAATAAAAAAAAAAAAAAAAAAAACAAATGCTTCGAATAAATTTTCCATTGCGAACAAATTATGTAATCGAGCGATAACGCAAACGAGTAAAGAAAAAAGAAAAAACAAAAAAAAAAGGTAAAAACTTGTACAAAAAGAGAGACACAGTTCTCGTTTTGATTTCGAGCAGACCTCTCGAAGCTCTGGAGCTCTGTCTCGAGATCTCGCTCTCGAGGAGCACGTTTCGCTCTCACACACGGGAGAAGTGCGGGGATATAGACGTTGACGGGCCACGCGGTGTGTATTTTGCCTCGCTCCGAAGTCAATAAATCCCCATGTGCCGGTCTCGCTCGCAAATGTGTGTGTGTGCGTGCGTGCGCGTGCATGTACCTTCCCGCCATTATCGCGCCGTGTAGTGTTTCATTCTTAACACGGATATCTGCCCGACCTCCCTCCGTAGTGGCACAATGGACTCGTCCGTCACTTTACGATTCCCGAACGCGGAACGTCGACCGTTGTCGTGGCCGAGTTCGCGGACGACGTGTTTGGGACGCACGTCGCGCGAAAAAAATCGCGCGTGTTTTCGGTGCGGGAACGGCGAGTCGGAAAAGTGAGATAATGTGTCGTCGCGACGAGTGAATTCGGGAGCGCGCGCTGTGGTGTTTTGGGTTCGGCCATTTTCTTCCCGTGTATATGTGTGTGGGGAAGGTTAGGGAACCCGTGAGCGGGCCGATTATAATCGAGAGAGTGCGCGCACACATCTGAGGGGATAATCGCGTTCGGGATCGCGAATCTTCCGATCTCGTCGCGGCGAACGGGGGGGGGGCGACGATCGTGCGATCGCGGATCATCGGTTTGGAAAATTCGCTCCTACGTGAAAATCCACCTTTGTCAGCCATGTGCATTGCGGCGCATCGTTCAAAACGTCCTCGCACCCCCGTGGCGGCGGGCCAATAGAACGCCGGGCGCCTCGGCCACGTGACCAAGACCGGCCAATCGACGCCGCGGGATTTGAAATCGTGCGTGGTCTTTGTTCACGGACCTGCTCGTGTCAACCCAACGTTACTTCAGTTCCGTCAAGGGGCACCCGTGTCGGTGTACGGTTTATTCACGGTCGCTGTCGAAAAACCCGCCTCGTACGTAAATATATGTGTGAAAAGTGGTGTGCAGCGCGGGCGGACTGCGTGATTCGGGGATCGTCGAGCGCACAGTATCGTCGTACGGTAGGTCTGGCGCCATTATTGCGCATTAGAGATCACGTAAATACACAAAATTACGAGGAACAAGGAAACAGAGTGTGTTTGGTTGCAACAACCGTCTCTCCCGTCTCCGTCTCGCGGGTTCTCCCGGTGGACCGGCGCGCTCTCGGGCTCGAGCGCGCGCGCGCGCGCGCGCTTTTCTCTCCATCTGTCATCGGCGAAATATCGGAGCGAGGGAGATCGAGAGAGAGAGAGAGAGACGTCGCGATGTTTTTCTTGTTCGTCTTTGTTTGTTTACGTGCGCGCGATCGAAAACCCAACTATCTCGTCGCCGAGTTCTTGTGTCACGAGTTTTGTCTTCCTTCTCCCCTCGCTTCGTTAATTTCTCGGTCGATTCGCGGTTATTTCCGCGTCGCGGATTTGATAATCGGTGTGTGTGTGTGTGTCAGTCAGTCAGTCAGAGAGAGACGATCGAGCGTGCAATACAAACAAACAAACCGTCTTCTACTCCCGATCCTTCTGTACGTTTTGTGACAAATCGCGTGAATGAGCGCGAGACGTCGTCGTCGTCGTGTAACGTTTCGGCGGGAAGGCACGAGCGAAGGAAAAAGAGAAAGAGAAAGTGGGTGCGATGTAAATATATTGATGAATCAATGTGAGAGAGAGAGCACACACACGGAGAGAGCACACCGAGAGAGGCCTGGTGTGCGGTGTCTGTTTGTGTGTGTGTGTGTGTGTGGTGTCTGTTGTGTGTATGTGTGTGTGTGCGCGCGCTCGCGGTGACCACGTAGTGTGAAGAGAGAAGGGAGAGTGTGTACGGGAACGGGGGGGGAGAAGGGAGAGAAAGAACTAAGAAAGCCTTATGCCTCGCACAGTTTCCCCCGGGCGCCTGGAAGGCAAGTTAATTTAGATCCTATAAATAATAGAGCAATCGAAACAGAGAAAACACGAGACGAGAGAGTAAGTATCGAGAGTTAAACAAAACAAAACAAAAAAAACAAAAAAAAAAACAAAAACTGATAAACGCGTTGGAAAACGCGCCGGAGAAAAATCACGGGGGGGAGGGGAGGGAAGAAGAAAATCAAAGTCGCGCGGCGGGAACGGACAAATGAGGAGGAAAAAAAAACGTGTTCGAGTTTCACGACCGACGTGCTCGCGCGCGCACGGAAAAATCGACGTTTTCGCGGAAAAAGAAAAAAAAATACCCACGTCTCCCGCGCGTTTTTCAAATCTCTTCCCTTCTCTCTCTCTCTCTCTCTCTCGGGTCATCCTTTTTCTTTATTTCGTCGCGATTTTTTTTTATCCGCGCCGCAAATCCGAAAACATTTGGAAAAAAATCGACGACAGCGCGAGTTTAGGTCGCCGAAATCAACGACGACGACGACGACGACGACGACGGGTATCGATTTCCATTGATAGCCGCGCAAACGGTAATTTTCTCGCGGATTACGCGGACCGTTTAATTGGCCGTCTCTCGAAATAAACGTTGAAACGAGAGAAACACTACACGTTTTCCCTTCGTCGTTGGTTTCCCGCTCTCGTCGCATCTTTCGTTTCTATTCCCGCCCGTGTGTAGTATAGCAGTATCGTGTTCTCTCGATTTTGCTCGAAAAATGCCCCGACGACGAAAATCTCCCAAGTCGTTCCTTGCAATTGCTTCGCGACGTCGCTTCTGTTTTTCCATCTCTAACGAGGAGTAAAAAAAACAAAGAGAAAAACACGCAGAAGCAATCGCGGCGTAAAAATTCCGGTGCGCGCAAAAATTCGCTCGAACAACAGAGGCGTTTCAAAATTCACCAGCCAGCGAGAAAAATCAAATACACGCAAAAATTACAGATTTTTCATCCGTAAAAAGGCGAACACGTCGGAAAACGGAATCCGATTGTGCGTTCTGGAATCTCCGGAATGTTTCGTCTATTTTTTTTTGGTTTTTTGTTTTCTTAAATGTTTTTTTTTTTTTTTTGAAATACTTGGAAAAAGATAATAATAAAATGCGAACGTACTAGAGCAGAGTCCCGCTGGCAAGGACGGGAAAGGGACGACGATACAGAAGGGGAAAGCGACGGGAAGGGCTGACCCTCGAGCGCTTTCCAGCCGCGCATAGCCGGGAAAGCTATTGACCGTGAGAACCTTCCGGGAAACCCCGTACCCCCGAATCCCTTCTGGCCTCTGTGTGTGTCTGTGTGTGTGTGTGTGCGTGTCTCTCGCTCTCGCCATGTGCCCATCGCAGCAGAACGCATTTCTTAAGGACGGCCAAAATTCACATTCTTTCGTCTTCTTCATTCTTGCCTCAACATTTTGTTCCTTTCGTGTCCTCGGACGATTATTTCTGCGAGAAACAGAGAGAGAGAGATAGAGAGATAGAGGAGCGCGCGTGGGGATAAAGGACGAGAGCGACACGAGAGAAGGCAGGTAGGACGAGAGAATGACAGAACGTCTTTTTCTCTCTTCACGACGATGGTTTTTTGTCCGCAAAGACGCGCTCTCTCTCTCCCTTTTGCGGTGAAAAAGACGACGAAGGCCCGGCCGAGAGGAAATTATTATTTTCTGCACCGAGCGCACCGAGAATAAACTAACGTGCAACTTCCTCGAGAAATTTCCGTTTTGTCCAATAATAGATAATACTTTTTTTTTTTTTTTTTTTTGCCTCTCCCTCGGATATATCGACGGGACGAAGTTACGCGCGACATCCTTTTCGCTCCGGCCACTGATCCTCTTTTTGTTTCCACGAAACTTTGTTAAAAAAAAAAAAGAAAAAAAAACGTACATCACACTCTTTTATCTCATGTGATTTGTTTTTGTTTTTTTTTTTTTTAAACGGACTTGCGGCAAATGTCCCGACGAGCGCCAGGACGTTTAAAAAATTGATCATCATCGCGTCCGTCAATTCGACGAATATTTTTGACGAGACGTTTCGGTCGCTGTTGTTTTTTTAACTTGTTTGATTTTTTTCTTTTTTTCCTCAACAATCGCAAAAATCGCAGCTGAAGCAAAATTTATCCTCAACAAATTCGAACGAAATTTGCGCGCGTCTGCGAAACTTCTGCGATTTCTATAAATTAAATTTCGCGATTAAAAATACAAAGTTAGATTCCGAGCGAGGGATTTAATGCAAGAAATATGAAATCCTCCCCCGTCAGTTTGACGGCGAGAAGACGAAGAGAGATTTGAAACGAAGTCATTTTTTTTTATTTCAGCGTGAATAAAAAACGCGTTCGGTCATTGGGACATTTTCTTATTTGAAATTTTGTTGAACACAAATTCGGGGGCTCTTCCAATTTTATATTTCCTTTCGACGTAATTTACGTAAGAGACGAGAAAAGCCGCGGGAAGAAGATGTGAGAGAGCGTGATCGCCAGGCGGGAGGAGGAAGAGGAGGAGGAGGGTTGCGGAGGGGGGGGGGCACGTTTTAATTCGAGTCTGCGCCGAAATCATCGGCTGCTTTCGGGACGGGAATTTTGCGGAAACAATCGGGTACAATTCTCGCGTCGTTAGACAAGACCCTCTCTCGCAATACGGAGGAGGAGCGCGCGGCGCGATTTTAACGGGCGCGATTTTAACGGGCGCGCCTCCATTTGCGCCTTCGCGCAATATTTCGTTTCGAGCGATGACGCGAGCGAGAAGTAACAGGCGAAGGAATAGAAATAATTCGGCCTGATAACGCGCGCGAAACGGATTTTTTCGCAGCCTCTCTCTCTCTCTCTCTCGGATTGCGAACAAATTACGCGCGCGATATATAATTCGTCGACGAGTAAAAAACCTCGCAAAGAGCAGCTTTGTCCCTTACCTACCTACCTACGTCGAGACGTTGCAAAGAAAACTGCGATTCGCGAACGATATAACGTTGAGAAACGCGTTCCATTGTTGATTCGCGGATAAAACGTGCGAAATTTTGCAAGATCTCGCGATTGGCTCATCATCCCCCCGCCTCGGCGGCCAGTGAAAGCAAAAAGTGAGTCTGAGATTCTCGCTCCTAAAGTCTCTCGGCACTCGGCAAAATTGAGCAAAACGTGAGAGATATTATATTCGGACATTGCGCCTATTGCAAAGATATCTCTCTTCTGAGGTATTTGAGCGTGCGGCGCTCAAAAATCGAGAGTTTGTGAAAAAAATGTTTGAGAAAAAGACTCATCGCAAATTTGTGTTTCAAACTGAAAAATAAAAAAAAAAAAATATCGACCGCGTAAAGAAAACCAAATGCGAACTCGCTCAGGCCGCAATAAAAACCCCGTTTTAAACTTCCCGTAACGATCCTAAACGGGGTAATTTTTATGTCTCGACCCTCTCCGTCCCTTCAGAGAAAAATATAAAATTGTTACATAAAATATTTAAAATCGCGTCGAAGAGACGTCGGATAATATCCCAGTTATAGACTCCACACACACACGCACATGCGCAGAGAGAGCATATTACATAAAATAAGCGAAGTAATCATGATTTAAGACGCCGTAATGACTTCAGCTTGACTGCGGTAAGTACGTTATTACGGCTGGCTGTGATTTAGAAAGGGACAGTGGTAAGCTCTCGTCCGACGCTCCTTTCTAAATTATAGCGTTCGCTATAGAGAGTGATACGGGAGAGGAGCAACTATCGCTCCCGCTCTCGCGATAAGCGCCGCCGATCGATATTGGCGGTTGAACATCATCATGGCCGTGTAAACTGGAACGCAAACGCCGCGACGCGTGTCGATTTTTTTTTTCCCTCCTCAAGGGTTTCGTCCACTTCCTCCCCTCCCTCGAGATCGAGTCGCGATCGTTGGTCGTTAAAAAAAATTTCGACTCCCCCGGCACTGCCGGGCGCGCGATCGACGTTGGCGATTTTTTTTTTTCGCGCCAATTCCGCGCGGCCACGTGCGTGCGATGCGCGCACAGACCACGTCATTGTGTCGCTTCGCGTAACACACACACACGCACATACGCCCGCGGCACGAGTATCGATATATTAATCCGACGATCGTCGCGTCGTCTTCTCCCTCCGGTTCGAGCGCTCGACATGGGAACAAATCGAATTAGCCGCGCGGAAAATTCGGCTCCGAAAAGTTCGACCGACGACGTGTGTCAAAAAATCGCTGAGAATCGTGGAGATAATTGAAAGATCATCGAGAGAACAACGAGAGGGGTTTTTTTTTGTTTTATTTTTATTTTCGCGCGGAAGGTATTTCGAAAATCGTTCGGAGTTTCATGCATTTTTGATTGCAAGTGTCTTTTTCCGAAGCGAAGATTGGAAGAAAAAAAAAACCGCGAGACGGGAACGAACACGACGTTGCTTTTCTCTCTCTCGAGCTTTTCTCTCGACGGGGCGGGAATAATTTAATAACCGCGTTTTCGCTAAAATCCGCGTAATACGAAATCCGATCTGTTCTTTCTATTTGCACCGGGTTTTTCTATTTTTTTTTTTTTTTTTTCAAGCGAGCGATGTTGCGCGGATTAACGAGCGATCTGCGTCGCGCGGAAGACCGTAAGGGAGACGCGAAAAGGGGATAAGGGTAGAGATTTTCAAATGGGTTGTGCGCGCCGCGCCGAAGGGGGAAAACACACCGGGGGACGAGGTTTGTGTGTTGGTTAGGAGAGAGTGTTGCCATCCTGACGAAAGCCGCCGTGTGCTGACGGGGTATATATCGGTGCACATTGCGCGCGGAGAAGTGCACACTCTTGCAGATAGCCGCGCGCGCCACGCGGCGATCGGGAGGAGGGGGAGGAAAAGGATACGACGAGGGTGGATGTGGTGACTGGGGGAGCGCGCGGTTGTCGAGGGGCGCGAGAGAGAAGCGTATCGGATCGATACTCGGCGAAAAGCGCGGGCAGAGGCGGCGTCGGCGGCGGCGACGGCGGCGGTGGTGCCGGTGCTGTGTGTTGTATATCTACGGTTGGTCCATCGCGAGATTCAGAGATGCTGCGGCGACCGGGCCGCAATCTATACGCCCGGAATCAATGCTCGGATGCTCGTCTCTCTCGCGCGAGGAGAGTTGGGGAGAGAGAGAGAATAAATTCCGGTCTCTCGCCGCTTTTTCATCTCTCGACGAAGCTGCGCAGTCTCTGCGCAGCCACGTTCGAGATGACTGAAAAAGGGAAGAAACGAGAGAATTTTTTTGCAGACGCAAACAATTGATGTTTTTGTTTTTTGATGTTTTTCTCAACTCGCATGCAAAGCGCCGGGGGGGGCCGAGCGCGCTCTCCGGTCCGAGAAAATGATCGATCTATCGGGGGTGCGCCTCCCCCCGCCCCCTTCCACCCCTTTCGGTTAAAAGATCGCGCTGAAATATGAACGAAGCGGCGGATGAGTGTGAGGAGCGAAGGGAGGACGGGAGAAAGGGATGACGGCAAATTGTTTAGGGGGGGGCGAATCTGCGCAAACTGCCAACACAGATATCCGTTTTCGCACCGCGGAACGGATAATAAATTCATTTGCGAGATGTGTGACGCGGAGTTGTATTTTTAATTACACGCGCGGATAACACAAAACCGCCACGTCGTCGTCGCACATTGCGACGGCACAATGCGATTATTGACTTTTCAATAATAACCGGAAGCTGATGACCCGGTGTGCGATGAGACTCGTGAGAGACCGTGTCGTGTTGCGAAACCAGAAACCACATCTCCGCTCGCGCGGAATTTTGGAAATTTTGTTTTCCGGCTGCAACGACCTTCTTTTTTTTCTTTTTCAATTCGAATAAAAATAAAATTCCGCTGGTTTTGCAAAGACACGACTCTCTCGATTAATAATTATCGATGACGTCGATTCGAGAGAGCGAAAAAGAATTTTTTGCGAATAGTTTCCGAATGAAACAGTCTTGGAACGACAGTCTAAAAGACGAGACGTCGTCTCTTTGATTTTTCTCTTGCAGACGAGTGAATGGAATTGAATGGATACCGTAACCCCGTACAGCACCAGCGTAAGGATGGAGCAGAGATTGTCCGATGATCCGTGGGACTGTCTGTTCGGAAGCGACAGCATCACCGACGCCATCCAGTTTCGCTCAGAGATGTTTCACATGGACATCTGCTGCTGCGACAACACCGGCAGCTCGCTCGACTGTCTCGGTCTTGGATTCGGTTTCAACAGTCACCTCCTGTCGAATATCGAGGACGATCCGGCCGGTTTCAGTTGCGAGAAGAGCCGCAGCTCGGCCAGGTGAGAGATTCGTCAAGTCTGTGATTCGGAAGAGTCGGCGGCGAGAAGCGCGATTGATAAGTACCTCCATCCCGAGATCCGTGCAACAACAAGCCAGTTGTTGACTCTTTCGAATTTGCGTCAGCAACGGTCTACGTTTCGGATACTTATCAATCGCCTTCCGCGTAGGATTTATAGGAATTTTTCTCGCTTAGAAATGAAAAAAGATTCGTTTGCAAGTTTTAATAATAACTTTATTATTGAACACACAATTTCAAAGAATAGAGTTAAGTACAATTAGATGCGCGAAAGTAAGTTCAAATGGCGCGAGGCTGTTGCTCGCCGTAAAACTAAAAATATGTGTGAAAAACGAAAAATAATTTAAAAAACTCTTAAATTAAAGATGACGCGCGATATAAGATGTTTTTTTGACAGTAACGAAGCAGAGGGTTGAGAGAAGTGTTTCTTGATTTTTCCAACAGCAATCTGGAAGATCTGAATCTCGACAGCGACAGCGAGTTGGCGTTGACGTTGGATCCGAATCTGATACTGCCGCACAACGGGCCTATTCGCAGCCCCACGCCCGGTAGCGAGGTGCCGATGCTTGGAGCGAGCACGAAGAAGAGGAGCGTTGTCAGGCTAGAGGAGGAAGAGACGGAGAACGATAGCGAACCCGAGCGAACCGAAAACGACGAGGAGAGCGAGGACGAGGATGAGGAAGAGAGCGAGAACGAGGAAAATGATCACAACGAGACGGAGTACGAAACGGCGGAAGACGTGACGGAAGAGGAAGAGGAGGAGGAGGACGAGGAGGAAGAAGAAGAGGAAGCGGAGGACGAGGAGGAGGAAGATGACGAGAACGCGAGCGTTCGACGGCCACCGCCCTCGAGTTTGGAAACGCCGACGTCGATACCGGCGTCGTCGACGCTGGCCGCATCCTCGCCGACTATACAATTGACGAGGGTGCAGATGCAACAGCACCATCCGAAGATCGGCACGATGAAGGTTCACGACATCAAAATGCTGACCGCCACCAACTCGACGACCGGGGGCGGCGGCCAGACGTCGCACCACATACGCAAACAGGTCTACAACAACAATCTGCACGATATCGGCTCTAGCGCGGTTACGACCGTGATGATACAGGCTAAGCGCGAGAAAGATCCGACGGCGGGTCACATTGAAAATCCTTATCCGAAGCCCGCGTACTCGTACTCGTGTCTGATCGCTATGGCGTTGAAGAACAGCAGGTCGGGATCGCTGCCGGTCTCCGAGATCTATAATTTTATGTGGTGAGTGTGTCTCTCTTTGAAAATTCAGAAACAAAAAAATGTCTCAACATATCTCATCGGGCATTTGTCACAGAAATAATTATTTGTCACGTGAATATATTAAACGTAACAATTCTCCGGGTCTTGAATAATTTTTAAGATGTTTTTTTGCGAACATTAGTTTGGAAAATTTTATTTGCGCAAATATTTTTGTTCCCTCAAAAATTATTTCTTTGACGAAGCGTCCGGCCAGTGGTCGCGCTCGTCCGGTCGTTGGGACATTACCTTATTACCCCGCGTAAATTGCACGCGCATACATTACACGTAGGTGAAAGTACACACAGAGTGCAATTTTATATCGCGTTATAATCGAGGCGATATTTTCCCTGATGAGCACAACAACGTGTGTAGTCGGCCCGGTTCGTACGGTTTATTTTTGGCCATTTGGCCGGAAGGATAAAAAAGGGGGGCTGGCGAGAGAGAAGCCCCTTCTGCGCGCGCTTAGGTGTACGCGAGGGGCAGAAGTATTGTCTTTTTCCCTCTTTTATTCTCGGGTTTTATACGGGGGGAGGAGGGGGGGACAGATGAGCGAGAAGCTGCCATTTTGTACCGGGGCCCTCGGAACACACAATCCAGAAGCGCGTCGGGGTACGGTTCCCCTAAAATTCGAGACAGGCTCCCTCTTCCCTAATCTATCACCTGCCTTCGTTTTTTTTTTTTTTTTTGTTCTTTTTGTTTTTTTCGTCGTTTGTAATTAATTGCCGCGTGCGTGGAATAAAACTGCAAATTTTGCCCAATGATCTTTTTGCTTCGTCGAATGAAAATTAATAATACAAATCTTTTTTATCGAGTAAAATAATACAAAATAAGTTACACTCGATAGGCTACAGCTGACACGATGCTGTTTTCCTACTCGTGAAAAGTGAGCAAAAAAAAAAAAACGAACCAAAAACATCGTAAATTTACGAAAATCCCGATGGAGAATATATATAGCATTTTTTCGAAGTATTATAAAAGTTTGTACAATTCGCCGCGAATTTCGTTAGAAATAATCTCCTAAATCTTAATGTAATTACGCTAGTTTTAATTTAATAATTAACGTTAACGAATCGAAAATATATATACGTTTAGCGATCGAGCGGTGCGAATCTCATGTCCCATTTTCTTGTCTCGTTCTCACTTAGCCGGCACTTCCCCTATTTCAAGACCGCGCCGAACGGTTGGAAGAATTCCGTGCGACACAATCTGTCGCTAAATAAGTGTTTCGAGAAAATCGAAAAACCTCCCGGGAGCGGCAGTCAGCGGAAAGGTTGCCTGTGGGCCATCCATCCGTCTAAGATGGCCAAAATGGACGAGGAGGTGAGGAAGTGGTCGCGAAAGGATCCGGTCGCGATCAAACGGGCCATGGTTTGTCCGGATCAATTGGAACTGCTCGAACGGGGCGAGATGAAGTACGAGGGTGACGGGCACGAGGAATTGTACGAGGACGCGGAGAGCTACGCGAGTTCCGAGAACGAAACGGGGGTCGACGAAGGGGACGAGGCTGTTAACGACGAGGAGAACGTCACGCACGACGAGACCAAGCACATAGACGTCGTCGACGACGACATCGTCGTGGAGGAGCTCTACGACGACATCGACATAGACGACGACGACGCCGGAACCGCCGACATGCTCGACACGCGGCTTATAACAAACAATTTTTCCAAACAGGAACAGTCGTTTGTTTACGAATTGGTCTCGTGTCAGAAGCGTCCGAAGACGGTCACGGGTCTGCGAAACGATTACGTTTATCAGCAGATCGACGCGCCTACGCCACGTAGAAAAGCGCACGTTGTCGCGGTTCAATCCGGAATAACCGAGCCTGGACATCCCGCATAATCCCAGTCAGTCAAAAAGTCCCTTCTCAATCTCGGAACAAAAATTCCATTCCGCGACAGAGAGAGAGAAAATATAAAACGCGGGAAAAAAACTACCTGCTTGTCTCCTCTCCCGCGTCCACGGGGGAGAGAGACACGGTCGCACGGTTGTGCGACTTGTGAATTTTTTGGTACAACGCATGTGTAAGTTTTTTCTAACGCCAAGATATTTTGTAAATAAAATTATATATTGTATCTTCTTTTTTTTTTTCTCTTTTTGTTTGTTTTTTGATAAGAACGTGTAAATAATTGTGTTTTATACAGTGATGTCCTTTTTTTATACACACACTGAGGAAACATGTGTAAATAATTTGTAAGATACATGATCTATATATATAAATATGTATACTAAATACGTTCTGTTTACGGTATGTTGTGTGTGCGAGTGTGTGTGCGTGTATGTGTGTGTGTGTGTGTACAAAGGCTGTTTTTCTTAGAGCCACGACATGGGACCATTAGTAGACGCGCAAGTAAAAATAACAAAAAGAAACTTTTTCTAGATGAGTGTTTTCACATTTGATATTCCGCAGAGAACTTTACATGTGCGTGTGCGTGTGCGTGCGTGCGTGCGATATGATTCTTAGAGGCATACGAACGAGGAAAATTTTTCGGGACCTTCGAACCCGGGGAAAAGATCTCTGTCATGCGACTCCGCCGTTTGGCGTTCGTTAACGTTTCTTCCACTTACGGCTGAAAAAACCCCAAACCGGAAGTGGAAGGCATTAATAACGCTGACAGTTGCCAGTTAAACTTCGTGTCACATTATCCCGAGTCCGAAACGCGCGCTGACGCGACGCTCGCCTAACATACTTTTTTTTTTTACGACTGCAGTTTTTGTTTGTCTGTTTTTTTTTTCTTTTTTTTTTTGTTTTTGTTTAAACGTCGCGTTTTACCGAATTTTTGTCGATGGCGAGAGGAAGAAATTTAAACAAAAAAAAAAAAACAAAAAACAAATAGGAAAAATATAGTGAGCGAAGCATGCAGACAGAGAGAGAGAGAGAGTCAGAGAGATAACGCGCGAAACTTGTGAAACGCGCGCGAGTTTCGCGTCCGTGCCGTCCGCGATATGTAGGAAGTAATAAATAATCGAGGAACACACAACCAACGCCCGCAACTCGTCACTGCCAAGTATATGGTCAAAGATAGAATACAAATGTAGTCTTTCCCGCGTAGATTTATATACGTACATTGAAGAGAGAGAGAGAGAGAGAGAAAGAGAAAGAGAGAATGCACGCGATCTCACACATCGATCTTTCGAGGACCATATTTTGTGTTTTTTTTTTTATTTTTATTTTTATTTTATTGCCGCTCTCGTCGTGCGAAATCTTCGACAATGTTTCGCACGTCACGCGTGTGCGTGTTTACTTATCTTCTCTTGTGCAGAATGTCTACCGTACTTGGAAACTCTTTTTTTCTGTTCGTTTGTTCAACAACAAAAAAAAAAAAAAAAAAAAAGAATCGTGCGAATTTGCTCTCTTGATTGAAAAATCGTTGTTTTCAAATTTCGATAAGCAATTTATTTTTTATTTTTTTTACTTGTGTGACAAACGCGATGAACGAGAGAGTTGAAGCATATTGACGCACAGGTGGTTCCAGAAGTTTCCGAAAAAGGTCGTTCAAGCAGAGTTAACTTCTCTTTGTGCGGAAGCTACAAATTCTCGAGCTATATATTTTTAACAAAGATTTATTGTGCGTTTTTTTTTTTTTTTTTTTTTTTTTTTTGTTGCGTTTCAAGTACACGCTTGACGATTGTTTTTCCTTTGTTCGCGAAATTCTCCGAAAACAATTCTCCGCGACAAAAGACGCGTCTGTGACAAACGACAATTGAACGTAAATTTGTTTATACACGACCTCTCGTATTTGTGTCAGTTATATTTTTTGTGTTTTTTTTTAGTAGCTTTTCCAGATTTTCCAAGCTCTTCTTCTTGAACGTTTCAAAAAACCGTTACGCGTGAGGTAATAAAAAGTTTTGTTTTAAAAATACATTTTGAGAGTCTCTTCTAGTTGGTACGCGATTTTGCGAAGTTTCATTTGTTTCTTTAGAACCCCGGCGGATATTTCTGGAACAGCAGCGTCTCGATCTGAATGCAAAATCGTCAGAGAAAATATCGGGAAAAGTTTGTTTCTTTTTTTTTTTCCAAGATCGAGTAAACACTCTGTTTCCATACGAAAAAAAAAAAGAAAACAAAAACGTCACTTTTGTAAATTACATACACGCATTGAGAGAGACTGATGTTTACAAACTAACAGCGTAGGAAATAATTATTAACTTATTTTTTACTTTTAATCGACGTACTATTATTTTTTTTTTTTTTTTTTTTACAGAAATAACAGAAGTTTTGCGTTTACGAAAAAGAAAAAAATATGTCCGTGAGTGTGTTGCAAAGCGAAGCGACGGACAACCGGCGCCTTTTGTTTTTTCTCACGCACCTGTTATCCCCCTCACGCTTCTTGCCTATCTCCCCCCGCTTTTTCTAAATTTTTGTGTGGTTTTACTAGAAGCTCCAATGGGGCCGAAAGTCTCGACTTCTTCCCAATTTCGGAAGCAAACAAATCGAGAGCGGGGAGAGAGAGAGCAGCAGGCGCGACAACAAAACCGCGGCGCCGGTTTCCGTCGAAACTGTGGAAGTTCATTAAATCGAAAATCTTCCCGAGCGTGTGCGTGCGTGCGTGTGCGCGGCGCGTCTTGAGAACAAAGAAACGAAAAAATTTATTGTTGCGCACACGCAAAAAAATTTGAGGAGAAGTTTTTTAAACTCGAATAAGAACAATCGGTTCGCGAGGACGAGAGTTCTCCTGTCATTCTGGGAATTTGTTTAAATCGCGTTTCGTTAAACGCGAGTGAAAAAAAAAAAAAAATTTGTTTCGCGCTCGAAACGCGAAATTCGATTCGCGTGAATCCTCACGTGAATTGTCGAACGAGAGAGAAACAACGTTTGCGAGAAACGCAAAACGGCATTTGCGCTTCGAATAAATTACCGAACGAAGTGACGAGCGTAAGATAGCGATGATTAAGGTAGCGTAGTTTTTGTACCTGTTTCTACCATTTCTATATAAAAAATGAGTGTAAACGTTTCGTATAGGTGCACACGATTTAAAAAAAAAACAAAAAAAAAACAAAAAAAAACAAAACAAAAAAAATGTAACGCATAAGGAATGATGTATGTATATGTGCAATGAATGCAATTTTGTAATAAAATGCTGACAGGCACATATCGCGCGGTTTCCATTTTGTTGTTGTTATTTGCGCGACGCTTGTTCGCCGCGCAAAGAAAACAAAAATCGCGTCTTTGACAAATGGCTTTCTATGTTTGTGTGTGTGTGTGTGTATTTCGTTTTTTGCGAATATACGAATATTATTTGCGCGCGCGAAACAAAAGTCTGTCTCTTCTGAGAAAGGGGGATAATTAAAAGACCGGATGTTAGAAAAATTTATGAATTTTTTTGTTCTTCTGATATATTCGGAATGTGTTATTACATTTTTAACTTTTTACTTCTTTAGACGAATCTCTCCGACGAGAACATGAATTGAAATTCGTCATCAACGCGATAAAAACCAAACCCGTCGGAATTTTTCGGATGTTTTATTTTGTGAATCACGGAAATGTTCAAATTAATTTTATTTCTAACGGAGAAAAACTAAATGTGAGATATTGATTTGAAAACTTGTGTCAGAAGTTACTATTAAAAATTTTTTTAGCTGAAAGTTTTCTTTTGTTGACGATTCGAATGTTAAAACAAATCTCTTTGATTATTTAAACGTTAGAGAAAGATATTTAAAAAAAATAACGAATAAAAACCCGTTTCTTCAACTCATCCCGTCGAATTGAGAAAGAAGAGTTGGAATGGTAGAAAAAAAAATTTAAAATTATACGCAAGTCCCTCAAAGAATCCGTCAAGTAATTAAGAGCTTTTTTTTTTTCAACATCCAGGTGTGTGTTGCCGCGCTCAGGAGCCTTTTAATTAACCGCTTTCTCAGTGTGTTTTGAACGAGTTATAATTTTTTGATTTTCATTTCCGCAACGGTCTTTTCTTCCCACGTTCTCTTCGGCGGTTTCCATAACTACACAAACGTTGTTGGATTCACCCTGTTTTACGTAAGCGGTTGAGAGAGAGAGAGATAGATAGAGAGAGAGAAAGAGAGAGAGAAAAAAAACCCCGGAGAAAGCCAGGAGGGTTGACGCATGCTTTCGCATCTGCATACGGTTTGTATATATGTAACACACGGCACGCGTGTCGTCCGCGCACGTCGATTACATACGATAACCAGTTCGTGCGTACACACGCGTGTTGACGCGGCTCCGATCTATTGAGGCAGACGCGTGCGATTCACGGTTTTGCCTCATAAAGAAAGAAAGAGAGAGTGAGGAGGAGAAAGAAAGAAAGAAAGAGAGAGAGAGAGAGGAGAAGACCCTCCGCCAATGAAACCGGTTTTCTCGGTCGATCCTTGATCACAAAGAAGTCGGCCGTAGTCACACGAGATCGCTGTGTTGTACGGGGCTTGGTTTTCGAGCTCAACCAACAACAACAATTCTTCCCGAATGAAAAAGGAAATTTTCTTCCCGCAATCGCGAGAAAAAAAAACTGCTTTGCACACGATGCGACGAAAAATTTCCGAGATCGATCTTGACCTCCGAAGCCAAAACTCCGATTTGTCGTCTCGATTTCTTGTTTTTTTCTTTTTTTTTTTTTCTCTCCACGGGGCTCTTTGCAATTTTTCTCTGAAAATTTCTTTTCCCGGAGTAATAAATTTCATTACGCGCCGCGCGCGCTTCGACATTTTGTTCGCTCTCGCCGTGCCCCTGGAACCGCGCGCGCGCGCGCGTTCGCTCATTTTTAATATCGTAAAGTACGGAATATACACGCTCTCAAAAATCCGGAGCTCCGCGTTCCGCTCGGTTGGCCACAAAGACACAATTCCTTTATGTATCGGCGTGGGGGAGAGAGAGAGAGAGAGAGAGAGAGAGAGAGAGATTCGCGCGCTCGCATTCGGAATATACATATATATATATATATATATACGTGCCGTATGCCCCTTGCCTTCTGTTGCCGCCTTTACTCCTCTTTTATGGTCTCCCCCTTTTTATCAGTTGCATCGCGTGCATCGCCACGGACGTTTCGTCAGGTGTTTTCATGGCACACCGACAAAACGCGCGGCGGAACTCAGGACCGGTTTACGATCGCCGGGAGCCCCGCGGCCGGGGATCGGTTACTCTATTCTTATCAGCGCGCAATA